ATATTTTCCTTAATGTTATAATGCTACTAACTTCATGTAAGATATAAAGATTTTTACAGCGGACAAAGAGAGAAGGCAGAAAGACAGTTATAAAAAAAAATAGGATAAAATACCTAGCTCAGTGGTTAAAGATTAAAAACAGTGATGTATATTGCACTATTTATGTATGAACAATAATTTTAAGTATAGAAATTAGGAATATTAAAATGTTTGAACCTTCTACAAAATGGACGTCATGTCAGAGCGAACTTATCCTTGAACTTAACATTCTATGATCATTTATCGAGCAGAGTAACCGTGTACCTATTAAAATAAAAAAACTATATATTGAAATTCACTTAGTCATAATAAAGTTGTTAAAGTATGTTAACGTTGTGTACCATAAAACATTTTTTTATTAGTTTCGGGTTTTTCATTCTTTATCAATGGGTTGTTTAATAACAAATTCATGTGAATTCTAAATTTCTATAAATGTATATACGACTTAATAATTATTATTATGAAATTACACATCGATGAATGGTAAACAAATTGCACACATAATATAGTTGTATATTATGCAAATCACATAAAATACATAGATATATTATGGAGGAGGAGGAGATTCATCATATTATACTATTGTTGTTTATTTTTTGTCTTTAATTTGTTATGATGACGAAAAACTATTTACTAATAATAACGACTCGCGAGGAAAAAAATTAACAATTAAAAAAAATTGAAATTCCGCATTAGTTGCTGTATAATAATAAGAATACTAATAATATAATGCTTATAAGGCTAAAAAATGCATATTAGTACTTTCATTTGTATGACGTGTCCGAAGACTAAATCACGTTTTGTAACAGTTGCCATTCAGTTATAGTACTGTGTGTAGTGTGTGGGCGATTGGTTAGGTCATTGAAAAAAAATTCTAATCGGTTGTGTAGCATAAAATCAGCTGTTGTCATTTTAACATAGTACAAAGTTAATTTCAATTTGCAATACTGTATAAGAAACCGGTATAGGAGACAAAACGTCTCGCCGACAAAGGGTTGTCTCTCTGCAGATGGTCTACACAACAACCTTCTTGCCATAATATTAGAATGAGATTTTACATTTAATAATAATAATAATTATCTTGTCATAAGAGTTAAAATTGTCGTAACGTAATCGATGCAGCAGACGCTAAACGACTCTAAGGGTGTCCGTGTAATGATAATTAATTTGATTATCGCACGAATAGTAGTAGTACATAACATGTAATAGTAATAGTAATTAAAACACTTCCCGGATACGCAACAACAAGCCTACGTTGACATCCGCTTCCAAAGGAAATACACTGTGCGTACAATAATCCCCAATGAAACCCCGGCTGGCTATAAGAAAATATACACCTGCCATTATAAGGTATAATATTTTGAAAAACAAATAAAACTAAGACTGTCTAAAATACCTAAACCTATACATTGGGTTTACAGGTCCCAGACACTGATAAAAATTAACACGGGGAAGATACTTGGTCGGTTTTGTTGAGAAAAGGTATAGGTAATTTTATAACTGTAAGTGAAAAAGTCTAAATATAAATAATTATAAGAATAATTTTTGGTAAGATGTTTACTTCTTAACATAAATTATATAGTTTTTTTTGTCTCCTGAAAAATCTTATAATTTTACTCATACCCTTTCGCACCAAAATCGTCTACTTATCACACAAAAACGCGACAGCCATCTTCTTAAGGCACGTCCACTATAATGCTATATCTATACATTACTATTTTTAACTATCTATACATAGGTATAAAATATAATACTAAATAGACTTTACAAAATAGCCGTCACTTCTTTGTTTATACTGAAAGTGACCCTTCTGCTTTCATCGGCTATTCTGTGCTCCTTTATACGCTACGTCATGTAGGGTCCTTTAATTTCCTTACTGTTAAAAAAAGAAAAAAACATTTGAATCCTTTAGTCTTCCATTTCAAACGGGTAGTTATTGCTTATTTGAAAATTTACCTATTTCATTTTCATTTGAAATTATTTTCGCTGCACGAACAATATTGTAGTAAGCAAGTGAATTATTTGTAATAAATATTTCGTAAATGTTTATTTTCCTACCCACCTCCCAACTAATTATTTTTATATCAACTTTTGAAACTTAAATGGTAACGTATACATTTCATCAACTTTTTAATTTGAGAATAATGTACTAAACATGTTGACTGGTCGACAATCAGTTTTGGATAACTATTATTGAAATTATTGAAGTTTCAAGTTTAGGACAGGAGGAAAGATGGAGTGCAGTATTATTTTTATCGGCTCGCACTCTCCCCTCCCCCCGTCCTAACTTTTAAACTCTTAGAACTTTAAAAATAGTGGTTAAAAAATGGTTATCAAGTTACGTTAGTAAAGTATTCTTAATTTAAAAAGTTAATAAAATATATACGTTACCACATTTAAATTAATCACGTTTAAAAGTTCCTGTAAAAAAAAACTAATTTGGGAGGGGGATAGAATCGTAAAAATTTGTGGGAAAACACAATGAGAAAAAAATCAATTATTAATTAATCCCAGTGAGGTATTGAGTGTCCCACGATAAAACAAAATGACTCTGTATATTAATTAATAATTAAAATCAAAATCTTTTCGAATCTATAATAAAATATATGAATATTTAAAAAAAAAAATGAAAACTACCCACTCATCAATAGAGATGGACTTAGATAATATAAAGGGATTCAAAACAAAAACTCAAAAATGTCGAGTCTTTAAGATTGTGAAACACGTAAGGCGAACAAGACCCGACGCAATTAGTGAAGGTAGTAGCTGGTGACGTCTGTCGCTGTAGAAAGCATTGTTTTGGGCGGCAACAGGATTTCAGGAACAGTTGCCATGGGAACGTGAGGACCGGTGAACCCACTGTCGCGTGGACCAGACGGGGTTGCTGCGACTGAGCCTTTAGGTCTATAAGGTAATGTCGAAAAGATTAAATCGATGAATGTGTATAGCGCACGGTTTTTTAATTATGTGTGCCGATTCATTTGGCGTATTTATTTCAATGGTATTATTAAACGTCGTTTCGTTTTGTGACAAAAGACAATAGTTGATATACCACCTTAAACAAGGGTTAAAAGAATTGTGTTTTAATATCTGTAAAACCCTATTGAATAATGTACACTTAATGATATTTTTGCGAATTCGTCAAGTTGTAAAATATAAAAATATTTGTGAAATTGTAAAAAAAAAGTTTCTAATTTGTATACAAATCAATCGCACGTCATATTTACATTGTCATGTACATTTCAGTACTTACAAAAAAACTATTTAGATTTTTTTTTTTTTGTGAAAATCCAAATTTTGGGATTTATCTCTAACAAGAATAATATAACATAAACTACACATTGTAAGAAAGCTATTTGCGGTCATTCCTATTGCTTTTACGCCAAACAATAACGATATCGTGCTTTGACTTAAAAAGGGAAATCAAATAATATCCCTAAAACTGTTTACTGTGTAAAAAAAATAGAGGATTATTATATTATTATTTATTACGGCCTTAATAAGGCGATAATATATATACTTTCGCTAACTCAAACTTATTTGGGTTGACAATGAAGTTTAGTTTCAAAGTATACATTAATTATATACTTTGTATAATTGTATTAGTTATATACATTTTCTGTATCTACTACCGTACAGTATTATACCAAAATGTTCATATCAGCAACTAATTTTACTTATGAATCATGAATTTGTAAATGAATCTAGACAATTTTATTAATACTCTTTAATGACATCATCATAATATTAATATTATAATTACAAATTATTTTATTAGTTATTGGCGATTATAATAAAACAGACTATTCCCATTTTTTATGTACTCAAATTAATATAATTTGTTTAAAACATGATTGTAATTATTATAAATAATAGTTAATAATAAAAATCGATAAACCCATAGTGTTGGTCAAAATTTGGTCATTTCCCGAAGTATCGTAAACATATATTATCTACATTCGATAACTAGAAATGTATTTTCAAGATAAGTAATTTGTTGTTAGAACTTTGAGTAAAAGTGCATTTAATGAGATTAATAGCTCTATTGCTCTCTAGTTTTATTAATTCAAACGCACTATAATTAAGGGTAATTGATGTTTTTATTAAAAAAAACAATTGGCCTGTTTGATCTATAGACTTGCGTGGGTTTGATAAAAAAGCAGCAACGTTAATTTTCGATGCTATATACTTTGCTGACCATTTATCACAAACGTGAATTATTTGATAATTTCCCAAAATTACTTGTTGTTTACATAAAATAATTTTTCTACGGGTTTGTGTTATACCTCTATATATGTATATATAAATTAATTAAACGCTTTCCATATGTCACGCACATGGCTCGTCTTCGAGAAACAATTTCGTAAACATCACTTTCAAAGGGAATATCGGTGTTTATTTCTAACAATCCTGACAAGAGGGTATGCAGGAATTCACATGCATCTTCCGTGATGTGCATCAGAACAGAACGCCCCATTCGGTCGATGACGTCCGTGACTCATTCGCTCACCCCCATTCGCTACCACATGATGTATGCACACAAAAGCAAACTTCCTGCCGGCAAAGGGACCCAAAAACGAGTAATTGTTAATTTTTTATTAATTTTAGTCGGTCATCGGTGCCGGTCACTCGCAAAACACTGCTATGTAATCGAAAATAACATTAAATTCATCTAAACGGATTTGAACTTGGGCTCAAGATTGGTCAAAAGATGCAATTGCCATGAATATACTGTATATTAAAAGTTGTATCGTTTAATCACAGACCATTAACCCAAAAGATAGTTGAAATATTTCCGTCCTTAGCACAAGTCGCTTAATAACAGCTATAAACATCAAGTAGGTACTGGTCCATTTGGAGGATACTGGAGGAACATTTACCTACGCCTAGATCCAACTTGTAACGCGCCAATCATTACCACTTATCCTAAATCGAGTGGCTCGAAACACAGGAAAACTCACCCTTAGTAGTAGACGTGAGAATGAGGGCCAAAAGGGTTAAAATATAATATCCGCGGGACCCCATCTCTGTAGACGGTGGCTGCGCACCACACCTGGTGACGGCAAAACCTGTGCCGATTTTTTTTCCGTCGCACACACTCGCGCACCACCAACACACGCACGTAAGTCTTATGCACAACACAATAGAAAAAAAACTTAAACACAGAGAAAAAGCGCACCAAAAGTTTGGGAAACGCACAATCTCACACAGGATGTCAACACTATACGCAACGGAAACGCACGACAACAGCACACATACACACCGAGCGCACAACGCAGACTGCCGGTACTGCCGGTAGTTATAGCGGTCGGTACTGGGCGCGCACGCACACAAACATTTACACACTCTGTACACAATATTATGCGGATGGGCCCCGGCGACTATTACTTCATAACACCCACTGCAGTAGTGCCCCGAGCACGGTGTATACATGGTAAAACGGCACGGTTTTTATTGGGCGGCGGGCCGGCCTGAACGGTTTGTTATTGCTCAAACAATTCCATCCGTATGGGCTGGTCCATGCGGTCTGTACAAGGAAAAGTCCTTGTATCTAAATTCTATTTATGGGTCTTAGATTTTTCGTCTCGGTTGATTCGTGTATCGATTAAGTGCACATCGCACACTCGAACCATTATAATTTATCACTATATAGAGTAGTAAGTACACAGTTCAATATTATAGCAACTAATAAGTGTCGATTTTCAGTTACACCTATAGGTACTTATTTAATAAAAAAATAAAATTACTTATAAAGTTTACTTATAAAGTTTACTAACGTTTATCTACTGTAGACTTCCTCCTGTATTGAATTTTGTTAAAATTTGATAATTATTATATTATTTTTTTGCAAATAATGACTAGTATAATAATGTTATTATAATAAGCAGACAGATAGGTACTTAAAACTATAGACCAATGACCAGAGAGTCAGTGAAGGTTAAACATTAACAAAGACTTTCTGAAAATATATACAGTCGAATATACTTTTAATTATTCAAAATAATGAATGTATTTACTTTATAATATAAGGTCAAATAAATATCATTTTAATATTTGACTCTTTTCTAGTAATAATAATAGTTAACACGAAACAACAATAATAACACGACACTTGATATTATAAACAATTATACATTTTTCAGTCTTTATCAGACTGAAAATATTTATAATATCTTTAAGAAAATTGAATTGTGTGATTCAGTATTAGGATGGTATTTAATATTTATCATATACTTCTAAAACAATATTGGAAACTTGAAGACTTGGGGGAAGAATTGGTATGTTGTGTTATGGTAAATACAATTTTCAATTAAAGATTTAAATCATGTAATGCATTAAATAGATCTGTTTGTTACACCTAAAATATAAGCCCTCTCTATTACCTCAATATTAAATAGGATCTCCGCCTATGCTTGAAAATTTAATTTAGGTTTTTACAACCTAAATACCTACCCATAGACATTAAAACAGAAAGTTTCTTTCGACAAAATATAATTTTTATATTTTATAAGTGAAATGAATATTACCTACTTATGAGTGTACCTACTTATTTTCACGTTGAAATTAACACTCGAATAACTCAACTGTACAACAACAGGGTTAAATATTAATAAAATAAATACCATTATAGTCATTTAAATAAAGAAAAAATGATTGTTAAGGAGTTACAAAGAAAGATAAGAAATGCACTATTACAATTTGGACAACATAGGTTAGGTATATCCAAAGGGTCAAGTCGCATTATCTAAAACACAAATTACTTTATAATTGTTTCAATGTTTTTACTTCTAGTTTTTTGGGTCATAATTTATAAGTGTCTACTAATATCTCGTTTCTTATTTTTTGTCTATAATGAAAAATTCAATAAACGGCTTTTAAATCGGTACCTAATCGTTAGTCTAGGGAGATAATTTTGAATAATTTTTTTTATTATCTTTTGTACGACAGTTTATATTAATTATGACTTGTGCAAATTAGATAAATCAGATACAATTTAATACAGAACAATTAATTTTTTTAAGGAAAAGTTTATTTTGGGATATTCAAGCAGCTCCGCATCATACCATGTCAACTTTTGTGGTTGAAATTTTATATTAATCACTAATTGATAATTGCTAAAAACCTCTCTAAGCTCTTTTTGTGTGGCATCGATAAGTTTACTTCGAAAACATGTTCAAAGAGATTGACGAGGGTATTCTTGCCCCTACTGTTAGTTTTACGGAAGTTAAACTCAAATAAATAATACTTATAGTGTGGACGTAGCGCGTCGTTTAAAACCTGTTAAAGTCTTAATATGTGCTATTGGGGTTTTTATACTTTATTACCGCCTAACTAACTAACGCCATGTATTCAAAAAGTGACTGGTCTTAAACTAGGTCAATTGTAGTTTTAATTATATTATACCTTGAAATTGTATAATATATTGTTGACTATCGCAGACAGACACCGTATTTACATGAATATCCTAAGGATAAGAAAAATATAAATGTTACAATAACAACAAAATTATATATTTATTGTAATTTTATTTTTTAAAGCTCAAAATGCAACAGTTAATTGGTTTAAAACTTTAATGTGGTAGTTTAATCTCTGTACATTTTGAATACCTAAGTAAAGTTGAGTCCATTAGTTATACCGTTTTTTTTCTGTGTATCACTTGAGTGGTAGGAAATAAAGAAAACAGCATAGTGAAAGGGTCCACAGTGGAAACATCCCGTCCCGGACAGGCAAAACGGATAAAATTACCTAAAAATTTAAAAAAAATAACCGTACAACTAAAAGTGGATAAATAATAAATTTCGGGAATTAATTACCAAAAATGTATAAACATAAAATCTGTATTGTGTAAAAAATGAGCAAAAAAAAAATATAATAATATGAAAAACAAAAAATTGTTAACATAATTTCAAAATGTGAACAAAATAAAAGTAACTATAACAAAAAAAAAAAAAATATATGAACGAATTGATTTTTAAAAAACATATTTTGTTTCTAATGTGAAAATTAAATAATTAATATTGGTCGACAAAAATGTTGTGTACCTAGACCGTTTTGAAATAAAACGAAGGCCTGTTTAACTCCCAGACATAAACCTTATAATAAATAGTCATTTTCTCAAATGTTTTTGTATTTAGTATTCAATCATTGTGTGCATTTGTCCAGTAATTCTGTATGTAATATAAATGAGCTATTAAAAAGCATAAAATGTACATATGTAAACAAAATAAAAATAAATAGAATTTGTTTGGTAAAAGGTCCTGCAAACAATTTTGTTACAATTTTAATAACTGAAAATTTAATTACTTAAACATGTTTAAATAATTGAAAAGGCACTTTTTATTTCAAAGAATTACTAGTGTAATAAGTAAAAAAACAGTATGGTGGGTAAAAATATATTTTATATCTCGTATGTCTTTTAAAAAAAGGTTTACACTTTACAGCCACAATTTAAAGTTGAAATTATGGAAATTCGTGTCCACGGAAGAGTAAGTATGCTGAGCGATTTAAATATTCTGTTTGTGGTATGTCCAGTAGAGGAGAAGAAGTATGCACTGCTGGCAATGGTACTTGTAACTTGAAAGGTTTGAAGTTATTACATGAAAATGGCTATCTGTGGAATAAATCTACAAAATTATAATTGTCTAAAAACCTATAAAAGAATATCAAAATTGAATGTAGCAATCCTCGAGTGTATTCATTATTCCTTTTTCTTTTTAAAAATTTCCCTCTTGTTTGCTTAAAAAAAAATTAACAATAAGTTACAAATTAGAGCAGCCGACGATTGCAACATTCTATTTCGTTATTCTAACATATTATAAGTACTTTAGATGTTTTTACCAAGATTTTTATTTCTGTAGTTTTTTTTTACAATCAAGTTGTTTTGAATTTAATTAAAATTTTTACTTCAGACACAAATAGTCTTATACTAAAAAAAGAATATATATAGATAGTCATATATACATTTTGTGTAATGGTCTAATTTCTATTTGATCATTTTTTCGTTGTATTGTATGAAAAGTTTATTGTTGAGAACAATATATTATGACTTATGAATATGTATGTTTGAGGTATTTTATGAGTACACATTCCTAGATATTAAAAAATATGCATACGATTGTTAATTAGTAGCAGTTTAACGATTTAATTTTATAACCTCAACATAAAAAGCTCAGCAGTAAAAAAAAAAAATAATAGTAATGATGTTAAACTGGTGTAGAATAGAGATATTGTTGTGTTAAATATCATAAAAACCTATTTAAAGAGTTGTTTTTATATTATGGTCGACTTGACTTTTTTTATACAGTTTGTGTCACATAGTTTGTAGCGTTTGTACTTTAGCTTGGGGACTTCAGCCACGGCTCTAAAATCACACTAAAAAGTTTTGCGGAAAAAACTCTCATGCTAACAATTATTTTGAACATTCTTTTATTCAGGTTTTCGCATTGTCAATTTTGTTTATTTCAATAGAACAAGTATAAATAAACGCCTTAATAAACATAGTATAGACAACACAATATACATGAATGAAATAATATGTTCACTCACTAACTTTTTATTTTGTAATGATCATTTTAATCATGTGTAAATCGATGGTAAAAATGATATCTTTATAAATTATAACACCTAAGCTATCAAATACTCATAAACTACAATGAGGCAAACACTGATGTTTAAAACTGTAATTGACGTCACTTCCATAACTAATTAATATTTTATATATCTTATAACATTTTTAAGGGTAATATTAAAAATGTAATAAAAAATTACAAATTGTGTCTAAAATGAGAGTTTATAGTATATAACAGTTACAGTAAAAATGTTTTTTTTTTTAGTTTGTGTGGTCTCCTCCCAAAATTATAAACAATTTTCTTTTCCTAATAGGGGAGAAATGTGTAGAGCATTATAATTTATTGTAACAAATTTTAGTTGTCGTGTAATCTATGTAAAATGTATAATAATTATTTTTAAAAAAAATACGTTCTGGTTAGGATTATTTTTTATAAAATATCTAAGCTTGTAAAATGTCTTATTTATTTAATCGTGGAAAACGTTTGGGAGTTATCACGCGTTGATTATTTTAACTTCTGATTCCAAAATACTTAATATCAATTATTATTATTTATAAAGGTTTATTGTATTGTGTCTATAGGTATTATATGCTAGTGTGTAGTTCAACCCATTAGTTAATAATTTAATATTGTGTTTACACATTACGGGCAAAAAACCTTAGGCCGTCCTATAGAATGTATTATAATAAAGTAAGTTTGAAAATATTTTAAATACTTAATTTAAGTTATATGGGACCATTTCTCCCACATGAGTACAACAAAGATAATATTTCTAACATTAATCACATGTATACATTATTATAATATTGTATTTTGCCTAAAAAAACGATCGGTAGAGAGTCTAGTTAGATTTATCTTATTAAAGTATTTAGCCTTCAGATATGTTGTAAAGATCTGTACATGAACTAAATACAATATAACACTAGTCACCGAATAATGTCAAAAAGAAAGGTTTCTATTTCTCAGATGTAATTGAATAATTCATAATCAATCGTGGACACAAACAAAGAAACTAGAACGCTGGAAACTCAGAAAGACGTTATTACCATGAGTGTAAAGCTAGCCGAATAAAGGAGTGGTTAATACAAAGAACTTTGGCAGTTTATAAATAGTAAAGTTAATAGTAGCTCATCGCGTGACAAAAATGTTGCGCAATCATTTTCGTACCAGATGTTCAGTACTTTTTGCGTTCTTACAAATTTATTTTGTCTTCCGTCAAATTTCATATTTTTTTAAGTATAAGTAACCCATAGTATAAAGAAAACCTTGCCAAATCATTGCACAAAGTGGCCCATAAAACATTGATTTAATTTTCAATGGGCACGGAAAATAAAATAAAACAGAGCTAATTTCATAAATTGATCTAGTAGGGTTTTTTTTTATACGCCAAGTAGATGTTGTTAAAATATTATGTAAACCCCTATAGGGTAAATTTATTTAGCAGTGGATGTTTAATTTTTTTTATAATTTAATTTTCTACGTTATAGCGAATGTTTGATGAAAATATTAATTTTGTAAATTGTAAAATTCAATTTTTAACATACCAATGTATTAAACGAATTCGAAAAAAAATAAACGCCCACAATACAGTTTGAAAACTAGTCCATTCAGTCGGCCTTTTAGGCACAATATATATGTTTAACCATTAATTTTATAATATTATAAAATCAATGGTTTAATAAAAAAAAAACTAAAATATTTCAGATATAAAGGTAGAAATACCTTTGAATTATAATTGTCTAGTTTATTTCTTTTGTTCATAAAACATGTTATACATTGTGATTAACAAAAAAATTTTTTTTGGGATGCCACCAATTGGCATATTATGCTAGTAAAATAAACCAGAAATAAATATTAAAAAGTAAAACTAAAATATACCTGCATAATAAATGCATTTTATTTTTTGTAATTTGCCAAAAAGTAAAAAACTAATATATTTTAGTTTAGAGTGTTTATATATTTTTTTGTTTTTGTGTCTGGACCCACAATGTATTTATAACGACATAAGCAGATTACGTTTTTAATGTTATTCATAATCGAGAGAACTATAAACAAAATGATAAAAACATAATTATAAATGTAGAGAGAGACTTTATGACACAGCAGAATAATCAATTTATATTTTTTTCATTGTAGGTTGTTAAATTACAACCAATAATTAATGAAATTAAAATCGTACAGATAAAATAAATAAATTAAATATTAATAAACCCAAGATAAAATAATTATTAAACAATAAAAGTAATTAAACATACTAAACATAAACTATGTTACAGGAACAAAAAGTACATAAATATAAAATACAAAAAAAATTAAAAAACATAGGTATCAACTAAAAATGTAGTAAAGAATTAAATGTCTTTGATGCTTATATAATTTATACTTATTTTATTTGATAAATATTACATGCACCATAGGCGTGACTAGACTTCATCCGCAGCAGCAGTGTGGCTATAATGACCTAACCTACTATACTAATACTACTACCTACTTAATACCAATTTCCTGAAAATGAGCCGAAAAAACCCTTTACATCCAAGGGCGTATTTTCTCTGGAGGGGGTTCAGCACAATTGAAAATTTGCAGTGGCACAACAGGCACCCTAGGCTGTCACCATAGTCAAGACAATATTTAGCACACATTTAAGGATCTTTGATAAATAAAACAACTCGATAGAGGAAATATTATCTTTTAAATATCTTTTAAGAAGTCATTTAAATTTTTAATTGATCTGTATAATCAAATCAAGATCAACAGTGTGTTTAAAATAATAAAATATTAAGAATATCATTCATCACTTAAAAATAATTCACTTATACGTAGTAGTGTATAAACATATTATGGTTGGAATGCTATTATCATAAGGGCTCACATCAGATAAGAGTCTTAAAGTTTTTTTTGAAAATCTAAAAAGTAATAAAATAATATTTTACCGCATAACTACATTATGTCTGTAAATTCATTACGTAGACCGAATTAATGTACCAGAAGTTATAAAATCCACGAATAGAATGAACACTCAATTCTTTTTTTTTTCAATATCTTAAAATCTATATTTTATTTGTTGTAAGAAGTTATATTTTAAGTTGCAATTATTAAAAATCGTTTAGCTTCGAAGCAAAACTGAAAAGACATTTGTTTTTTTTACTTTTACAAAAAGTATCAGGCGAGGACGATCTTGTAAAAAATAACTAGAAATTAATGTTAATTAAATATTTAATAGTACGATTTAAAAATATTATCGTATTTTTAAGTTATTTAAATAAAAATGTGTAAATATTAAATATTGTAAGCTAAAAACGTAATATTATCATTTATCACTTTAATAGAGGCAGCAGCTGCTGTCATAGATATTTGATAACAAACTGGGTTGTGATAAGAACCAGCAACACAGCTGTTCCGAAATCATGTTTTCCGGGTGTTAAATAGAAAATCGATTGGAAAATTTAACAACAATTACATGGTATTCATCGCAACTATTACCGTATAAGTATGCGGATTTATGAAAATTAATTATTGGTAATTTTTTTGGTTTTTTTTCCATCTAAAATCTCTTCAGCCCGAGATGTCGAACTTCAGCTGGTTAGCCTGAATAGGTATATATTGTACTTTGCATTACCCGCCGCCCCTCCACCCTTTGTTCGTTCTCCCGATATTACAGACCGTGGGTACAGTTTGTCGATGGCCATTGGGTTTTTGCGTTGTGTTATTGTTTCGCAGTTCGTTGATCGTTGTCGTTTTTCACTGGTCGTGACTTGTGTGCAATTGTGTGCGAATGCGAGCGTGTTTAAAATTGAAGTTATTGTTTAATTACACCGTATTGTAGTAACAATCATAAACCCGCTTTCATTGTAAACATTCACCGTACACGGCGTATGCGTAATCGTTAAAAACTGTGCACCAGCAGCAGCTCTCCATGTTTCCTCAATAAGTGTTTGCGGTTATGCCCCAATAACATGGCATTATCAATATCACTGCATCAATTATTATCGATAACGTTCATTAAGGTAAGTCGTCATAGATATATTTTGACGTTGTTATGTCTACGTGAATATCAAAGGAATTATTACCTTTGTCGCCCTTTGTTAGCTGTTTGTTTCCAAATGTTTGCCGGAGATTAAACGCAAAAGGGTAATAAGTAGGGAAATGTTTTTGTTATTAGGTCATAAGCTTAAATTATAATCAAATATTATATTAATGTATACCGAGTATCAGTTTAAGGTTTTGATCAAATAGTACCTATTGATTTTATTTTTGTACTTTGGGCTAATACTCTATAGTTAGTGATTAAAACTCATAATGAGTCATTAAAATTATGCACAGATTGACATTGCTTAAAATAGTGTTTTAAATATTTTTGCTTAAAATAACTCAATTAGTTATGGGAATTCTAATCTAAATCTGAATGAGGTTCATATGAGAATTTGAAGAAAACTACCTACAGACGTTTAACCTGATTACTAGGTATTTTTTGCTATATGCTTATTAAAATGTCTTTATACCTAGTTTTTTCTACGTTATTTATTCTTAAATTAAAATAAAAGGTTAGTAAAATAACTACTGACTTTGATAATAAGTAAATCCCTCCATTATTCTTTCAATATAATAGTTAATATTTGATCGTTTAAACCTGCCCTAGTTTTTTTTAGTCGTTCTACTGTGGTATGAGATGTTATTTTCCTTAAGAGATTTCAACTTATCGTTACATAGAAAATATATATTGCTATACCTATATAGGTTTTAATCTTTATAACTAAATGTTTTTATGTATGCTACTTTTTTATTTTATTTTAAATAACTGAATACTATATCATAAATTTCACATCTTGCTACTATTCCTAAGTAGCAATTTTTGTACTTTCAAATGTGTTTTAGTTTTAGATTATTTCGTAACAGACAAAAGAATAAAAGGTATGCAACTTATTTCAAATAATAAAACAAAAAAAAACATTTAAGGAAACCTTATTGTCTATTACAGCTATTTTTGAATGCTTGCCATAACCTTGATTTTGAATATCTACGTTTTTACTTATAAACCGGAGTCATAGCCAAATATTTAATATTTTACCTCCGGTAATTATTTGTATTAAGAAACAATGTGTGCTTGAAAGTTTAAATGATTCTTATACTATTTCCATCTAGCTATATTTCATTAAGTACGTATTATACCATTGAAAATGTAATAGGTAGTACATCCTAATCTTTAGCAGGTATAACACTTACCAAAAATGTAATTAATGAGTATTACAAAATTATAAACAATTAAAATTAGTTTTTTATTTACATGTATTGTTCTTAATTAATATAAAGTTTCCTTTTTATTGTATATTTTAGTTTTGACATCATACTATAACAATCATACAACATGGCTGATGTCGATCCTGAAACACTTCTGGAATGGCTCAATATGGGTCAGGGTGATGAAAGAGACATGCAGCTCATCGCTTTAGAGCAACTTTGCATGTTACTACTAATGTCTGATAATGTTGACAGATGCTTCGAAGTGTAAGTAACTATTGTGGTCAATTTAACTATTACTCTACATTGATTCAAGATATACATAGATTCTACATAGATTCAAACTAAAAGTTATTATTTATGTTAATATGTATTGATTAGGTGTCCACCGCGATCATTTTTACCAGCTCTTTGTCGCATTTTTCTTGATGAAAGTGCCCCTGATAGTGTACTAGAAGTCACTGCTCGTGCAATTACTTACTATTTAGATGTATCCGCTGAGTGCACCAGACGTATTGTTGCCATTGACGGAGCATTGAAAGCTATCTGTAATCGACTAGAAGTAACGGACATTAATTCTCGTACGAATAAAGATTTGGCTGAGCAATGTTGTAAAGTATGTATAGGTAACATATTTCATTCTACAGTTTAATTATTTTCAACTTTATTTTGTTATAATTTAGGTATTGGAACTTATTTGTACTCGAGAAGCCGGCGCAGTGTTTGAAGCAGGAGGTCTTAGTTCAGTGTTGTTGTTCATAAGTGATGCCGGTTCTTGTGTGCACAAAGATACTTTGCATTCGGCTATGACTGTTGTTTCTAGACTATGTACTAAAATGGAACCCAATGAAGTCTCTTTACCAACATGCGTTGAATCTCTTTCTACTATGCTAAAACATGATGATACTCATGTTGCCGATGGAGCTTTGAGGTGCTTCGCATCACTTTCTGATAGATTTACACGACGGGGGATTGATCCTGCACCTTTAGCTCAACATGGTCTCTTAAATGAATTGATACTTCGTTTGTCTTCAGCAGCTGGACCGGCTACCACCAACATTGGGACACCTGGTAAACATACCATTTTTGTTTATTATTTATATAATTTATATTATAAACCAAAAATTCTCTACCTGGTTGTCATATTAATTATTACATTTTAAACAAAACTACCATTATAGTGTAGAATGTTAAATAAAATGTAATGCTTAGCTGTTATCACTTATTGTGCCGAGTCAGTAGCATTTTAGAATTGGCAAATGGTAATTGTATTGACTTATTTATTTTAGGTTTGAACGCAAATACTTCAACTACTGAGGTTAAGTCATCACAGTCCATATCTACAGTTATAAGTTTATTAACAACTCTTTGCCGTGGATCCAAATCCGTATCTCATGTATGTAGTTTAAAATCGTATTATTTTTAACTATAAAAAAAAAATAAGCCAGTTAATAATAGTATTATCCAAGTAGTTTTTATCTTAATTGTCTGTTCAAGGTTAAATATTTGTATGGTTTATCTATTTATTGTATATTAAATATATTATATAATTAAGTAAAGTAGTTAGAAGATAAATATTATCAAGATGAAAATAGTATAACTCTTTGAAAAACTATTTAGCTAATTACTATTGACTAACTATGTTACCTATACCTACAAATTATATTTAGGTACCTAAAATTGTCTAAAGTTGTTTTTAATTTTTGTCATTAGGATTTATTTCGATCAAATCTAGCCGATGCTATTGAAAAGGCTTTAAAAGGCGATGAAAGGTAATAATATTTAAAACTAAAATTATAGTATTATAATAAATAGTCAGGAATAAAAATTATATTAATGTGTTGTTGTAGATGTTGTCTAGATACAATGCGACTAGTTGATTTGTTACTTGTGTTGCTACTGGAAGGACGTGATGCAGTATCTTGGAGTACAGTCGCTTGTTCGAGTGCTAACCCTTTATTACCAAAACTACGCCGCTTGGATTCTAGTGCAGAAAAATCTCAACGACATTTAATCGATTGCATTAGGAGTAAGGATACCGAAGCATTGATGGAAGCCGTCAATTCTGGTGGTATAAATAATATAATATGATTTTACTTACATTACTTGCTCATATTAATCTAATAGTATTAAAATTAAATTATTACTGTTACATTTCTATTACTTTAGACTATATCATTTTAATCGATTTTTTTTTATTAGCTATTGATGTAAATTTTGTGGACGAAGTTGGACAAACTTTACTGAATTGGGCTTCTGCTTTTGGCACTCAAGAAATGGTAGAATATTTGTGTTCCAAAGGAGCCGATGTTAACAAAGGCCTTAGATCCTCATCTTTGCATTATGCTGCGTGTTTCGGACGCCCATCTATAGCCAAGATACTTCTGAAAAATGGTGCCAATCCTGAACTCCGTGACGAAGAAGGTAAAACGCCACTTGATAAGGCAAGAGAACGAATGGATGAAGGTCATCGCGAAGTCGCTACTATCTTAGAATCACCAGGTTTGTTGAATGAAGGAAATTTGTATTTTATGTGATCTAATGTTTGATGTTATTTATTCTTATTTAGAGTGGTTGATGTCTTCTAAAAATGAATCTGGTCAATCCATAGAGTCTAAAGAGCCAAAAGGTGATCCAGAAATGGCTGCAATATATCTTAAACGATTAATGCCAATTTTTTGCCATACCTTCCAGTCGACTATGCTGCCTTCTATCAGGTACATTTCTATTTAAATAAATACTTCAAAATCAGGTATATTATGTGGTTATTAGATTGTGTGATTTAATAGAAGTAAGTTGAAGCTTTCACGGATTGAAATATCACATGAATAATTTTCGGATATATCCGAAAATTATTCATGTGAGAAGTAAGTTTTTAAAGTTTCCTCCAAAGAAGGACATTTTTTCCTCTGCCTTTTTTTTGAAGTGCAGTTTTAAAAATAGATTGAAAGTGTTAAGTATCATGATTATGAAAAAAAACTGATTAGTCATTTTTTATTATTTATAAGAAATCCCCTAAAAAACTGCTATAAAAGTCTTTATTTTAGAACTAAGTTTGTTTTAATTAAAGTTTTTACCAATAATAATTACTCTTTATGTGTTTATGACGTATGCTTACTTATTAATTTTGAATTTTTGTCCCTTCACAGGAGAACATCTTTATCATTAATTAAAAAAATGGTACATTACATCAAGTCAGATTGGTTGGAAGACATATGCAAAACTGACTGCCCTACTAACTTGGCTCCATTGTTAGTTGAAGTGCTTGCTACAGTACTTGATAACGAAGTAATTATTTTCAACATTTTACAACTTGATTAAAAATTTTAGTTTTTTTTTCTATAAACCGAGTGCAAATTTAATGAAACTACGGTAATATATTTTTAGTTAGTGAAGAATTTATTATAATTTACTCTAAGCAGAAAACAATGAAAATATAGTGCTTTATTTTTCCAATTAACTTTATTCCAGGATAAGACTTGGCTGTTATACTCTGATATGAGTGGCGAGTGCGAGAGATACTTGCCTCGCAAGCTCTACAAGATGTTAATTATTAAAAAAAATTATAAATCTTTGATGGTAAAAATTATGTAATTGTTTTGCACGCCTCATAGAACAATATAACTTAGGATATTATGCACATTTTGTAATGATAAAGGTTCTTTAATATTACAAATTTGAGTGGATGTATTTTTACCATAGACCATACTACTTTAGTATCTAAACAAACAGCATTATGCATCAAATAATTTCTTTGCCTTTGTTGCATAACAGACATTTTTTAAATCATACACTACTACACATGCTAACTAGAAAAGGATTTAATTTAGTTGAAATATAAATCAATATACTTTATATATACAGCAATGACTAGAGCTGTCATGGTTTAAAATAGTTACTTCAATCGTCCTAAACCTTTAATGATTTTTGAATTTAATATATTTTACATAACATCAAAAACAAAAAAAAAACAAATAACTAAGAAGTAAATGTTTTATGTACTATTTATTATTGTAAAAGTGTAATTAAATCAGTTTTTCTTAAACATATTAATGAAGTAATGCACTAAGCACTTGTGTAAAATATAAAACTATACCAAAATCAATAACAGCATTTATTCTCATAAAAAACTGATGTTAAAAGTATATGTATTTTTATGGTTTCATGATTTATTTATTTTTTTTTAAAGAATACATAATATAGACCTCCAAAGAATGTTGTTTTGATATTCTCGGTTTTGAGTTATTTTCTCGGTGGGCCCAAGTATTTTGTGTAAACAGTTATTATAAAATTCATTTTTATGAAAATTACTTCTTTTACCTTTCATAATTGTAACATACATAAATTATTTTCTTATTTTATTTTAAACAAACGTGTGTGTATTTTCATTACTAATTATACCTTATATATTCAATCTTAATGTAATACATAATTTTACTAATCAAAGGAAATTAAATAAAATGTACCTATGACTGTATATGTATACATATAATTTATTAACATTAGTTACAAAATGTAATTTTAATAATAAGCGAACTACATTTTACGTTTTATTTGTTATTTAGTTATCATAATTTATTTTTACCGGGTATCTCATTAACAATGAGCCAGGAAGTATACTACTAATTTCGTCAATATTTGAAAATTGTTTTGCCAATATATTATCTTTAAAGAAATTATCATAATATAAAAATTTCTGTTTGAGCATGAAAAAAATAACATAATAAGTGTAAGCCTAATTTACTAATTTTAACCATTTAATTAAAAATAATATTATAATATGTTTATTAGTATGTTATGTTTTCCGTTTTACTAATCTTACTCCCTTTATATAATAAAAATAAATAAATAATTACAACATAATTCTTAGCTATAATGTAGCATTTTAACTTTTGAACTTTGAATGTTACTTTTTTCATAAACACAATATTGGTAAAACAATTTAAAAAAATATTATATTTACTTAGAATGACTTATACTACTGGTTCTTAAATTGTCTTTGTATCATATATTTGTGTATAGAATATATTTTGCTGTTATTAACACTAGAATAACCAATTACAGGAAGATGATGATGGTCATGTTATTGCTTTGCAAACAATTAATGATCTTTTAATTAAATGCCAAGATATTTTTCTTGATCATTTCGCCCGTCTCGGGGTATTCTGTAAAGTTCAACAACTAATTGGACCTGAAACAAATATTGAAAAAGACAATATTCAGAAATGCGATGTCAAACAGGTACGCATTATAGCTCTCCGTTTTGTAAATCTCAAGTTATTATTTTTTATATTATGTATATATAATCTTTTAGTGTCAAATTGAGGATGCAAAAGAAATATTACCAGGTCATGCATATCATTGGAAAGATTGGTTTTTCTGTCGTGGTAGAGACTGCCTTTATGCATGGAATGATTATGTTATACTAGAATTATCAAATGGTAGTAATGGATGGTTTAGATTCATGATAAATGATAAGTTATCTACCATGTATTCCAGCGGAAGTCCCGAAGGACAATCTGATACAGGTACAGTATAATCATTTATATTACTACTTCAAATTGTTGATATTTGAAAATCTCCTTTCTTTTTTAAAGCCAAAAATAGACCAACAGATCCACCATCTTCAGACGGTAAATATACATTTATTTTACATTTTAAAAATGTTACTATTATAATAGTTGGATTATATTTAACTCCATCGTGCCAATTTCAGAAAATAAATCTGAATTCATTGAAAAATATTTGAAAGCCAAAGTGTTTGTTAAGTTACATACATTGAGTCAGCCAATATTAAGCGCTCCTGGGATAAACAGAATAGCTGTGGGAAACTGGATTCTTATTTCAAGAAAGGAACATGAATTAAACATTCAAAATTCTGATGGCTTACAAGTAATGATCTTGATACTAATAATTATGTTTAAGGATTAAATATAATGGATTTATGTATTTTCATAGTTACCATTATTTTATTATTTATTTTCTTTTTTAAAGAAGTTGCTACTATGACTAAAATATTTACCTTTAATTTTTCATAAAACTTTCGATAAAAAAAAAAGTAAAATATATGTAACAAAAACAAAGTCACTATTATCAATTTCATTCCTTTTATTATTTCTAATTAATAATAATTATGAGTGAGCACTTAAATTTTTAGGAAAATAAACTTAATATTATGATGTCGACATCAAATCTGTCCCTTTAAAAAAAAATATACATATAACATACAATGTTTGTTCTACATTGTGTTTGTACTTTAACCAATTTTTTTAACAATACTCCTTTTTAGGTGCTTGCAAGACTTTTTTATATTTAATAAGTTATTTATTTATTTATTTTTTTTTTTAAGCAAATAACTACATTAACTAATGGAACAAATGGCTTTTCATTTCAATCAAATCGAGGCAATCAACATATGTTTACTGGTTTAGCACCACTGAAAAGTGATTTTACTTCAGGTTGGGAAACTGTTAAAAAAGCTAATGTAGTACCAACCAAGTCTGAAACGATTGGACAAAAGGTAAAAGTATATATTTAAATTCAATATGTCAAACGATTTATTTATTATTTAACTTCCATTTATATTTATTTAACATTGTAATTTTTGTATAAAACAGCGAATCCCATTTTTAAAATAACTAACTTACCTAATTCGTTTTAGATCCGAAAACAAGCTCAAGAAATATATGAAAAATTCTTCAAGGCAGCACAGGCTCAACCAAGAGGTGTTGTTGCTAGGTTGGGAAAAATTGTGTCTGCAATTGAATTTTGTATACAAAATCAGGTATAGCACAATTAACAAAATAAAATAATTTTCTATATTTTATTTATACTTATTTCACGGTTATTTTATGTTCATTTTTCCAGTCTTCTGTAACTGATGAAAAATTAAATAAAGAGCATTGGACTACAACCCTGTACAAAGCAATTTCAGATTTAAAACAACTATTAATGGAAGATGAAGGCAGTGTTTCAGCTTTTGAAATATACAGTAGTGGCTTAGTTGAAGTTTTACTGCAACTCCTAACGACTTATCACCAGAATAAGAGTGATACATTAGGAGACTTACAAGATCTGAGACTTGATATTTTTGTCAAATGTTTCAAAGTAAATACTAACAAATTAAAAAAAAAACCTGTAATATAATGTATTTGAATATTAATCTGATATTTTTGTTTTGCTAGGAAAAGAAAAGTGAAAAAAGTTCTGAAACTTGTGCTTCTGTTTTAGTTCAAAAACTTATATCAGTTTTAGAATCTATTGAAAGATTGCCTGTATATTTGTATGAGTCACCTGGTGCTTTCCATGGACTACAGGTGGATTTTTAAAATATATTTTCAAATCTTTTTAATCTATTTAAAACTTGTTTTAAAATATTTTTTAGATTTTGTCGCGACGTGTTAGATTCCGTTTAGAGAAAGCAGTTAAGGAAACAACTTTAGTTGATCGTACTGGTAGAGGATTACGAATGGAGCCACTTACAACTGTACAACAGCTCGAGAAGCATTTATTAAAAATGGTTGCGAAACAGTGGTATGATCATGAACGCTCTTCTTACAATTTCGTGAAAAAACTTAAGGACAAAAACAATTTGCCTATAAAATTCAAACACTATTATGACTTTGACAAAAATGGCATACTCTATTGGGTCGGAACAAATGGAAAAACATCAATTGACTGGGTAAATCCAGGTCAATATGGTCTTATGTTAGTCCAGTCGTCCGATGGTCGCAATTTACCTTACGGTCAAGTGGAAGACATTCTGAGCAGAGATTCAGTCGCAATAAACTGTCATTCAAACGATGATAGCAAAGCGTGGTTTTCAATCGATTTAGGTTTGTGGGTAATACCAACAGAATATACACTGAGACATGCTAGAGGATATGGCCGGTCAGCTCTTCGAAATTGGTTGTTTCAAGTAAATAAAATAATAGATTCTAACATAAAATATTTTTTTTTAAATTTATTATAACACTATTTTTTTTTAATCTAAAACTTTAGATGTCTAAAGATGGAACCAACTGGACTACATTGTACACGCACATGGATGACACTGCTTTAAATGAACCGGGCAATACTGCTACATGGTCGATAGAAATTAATGATAAAGAAGAAAATCAAGGATGGCGTTATATAAGAATTCAACAAAATGGCAAAAATGCTTCGGGTCAAACTCATTATCTTTCTTTATCTGGTTTTGAAATTTATGGAACCGTTACTGGCGTTTGTGAAGACCTAGGTAAGAAAGCTAAATTAATAATTGTTATTTTCACAGTAAAGTAAATACTATGAAATTTTAAAACTAAACAATTGATACTTCTTTTAGGGAAAGCAGCTAAAGAAGTTGAAGCAAATCTCAAACGTCAAAGACGCCTGTTTAAAGCACAGATGTTCAAACAAATGGTAACAGGTGCTAGGGTGATGCGTGGCATTGATTGGAAATGGAGGGATCAAGATGGTAACCCACCATGTGTGGGAACAGTTACAGGAGATTTACATAATGGTAAATAATAAGCATCCAGTAATAGCTGATTGTTTTGATATAAAGTAGTAAATTGAAAACAATATTGGGGTTAGGTTGGATAGATGTTATGTGGGATCATGGAGTTACAAATTCATACCGAATGGGTGCTGAAGGGAAGTATGATCTGCGACTTATCAGTGAACCCCAAACTACATCCGCCCGTATGTTAAAAATAGTGAACCTAAAAAATCTAAACCAGTTTCTATTTGTTTAGTTTAATTTGTTTTTAGTTATTATTATTTTTTTACGCATGCATACCCCTATTTTTGATTGTGTACCATAAACTATACATATATGATATAGGTTACATATTTAAACAAATATACTATTTAAAGTAGGACATCATATAGCTATAGAAGTTGCACTATTACAGTTAACTTTCAACACTATTTCCCCATTTTTTGTTTATTTATTTGCCTTGGCATGTTTATGATTTTTGCAATTTGTGTTTATTTATTTTATGTAACTTAATTGAAAATTATTTTTTGTTTTAGCTAAATTTAAATGCAGTAGTCCTAATGCTACATTTTCTAACATGACAAGAATGTCCACATCGACTCCTAGTTTACCTGAAGCTGCCAACGATGGTTCCAGCAGTAATATTTCAGTAGCAAGTATTGATCAATCGGCATCTGCTGATAACTTAGCGGTCAAGGTAAAATATCTATTTTTATTTTTTTATTTAATATAATAAATCAGTATACATCTTTAACTATTTGGTATTTTATAAAGAAATACTTATTATTTTTTTATTAAAGAATGTCTACATATTATCTATGTAAATACTTAATTTTTATTGCAAAGCCAACCTCTCTCTCCCCTTCATCAAAACTATTTCCTATTGGCAATGTAACATTTTGCTGTTAGTTTATTATTCATAACATTGATTAAATATTCATTTTTAATATGTAAATAAAATATATATTTTAACTTTTAAGAATAGTATTTAATCAATGTTCATAGTTTTAAACTATTAAAATTATGAGATTTTTAAAACACTTTTTTTATAATTAAAGTTTTTTTTTTATAAATAATTAAATTGTTATTATTATAGCAAGCGGCTCAACATTTAAGTGATAGCATAATGTCTGTTATGAGGATGGATCCTTCATCGATAACCCCAGGTCCAACTAATCAATTGGATAGTTCACTTCGGATAGTTGTTCATCCTACACCTTCGGTTGATCTTGCGACAATTGTGGAATCTACATCAAATGGTTAATAATAAATTTAACTAATTTTTACATTAAACATTATTTAAATTATTTAATTTTGTATTCCAGATGAAACTCAGCAAAATATTGAAAATAACAAAAAGAATAGCAACTATTTCGAAGAAGAATTTTTACCAGCTTTAGGCAAAGTAAAACCGACTTACAGACGAAGCTCTGTCACTAGCTTAGTCCATACACTGCAATCAATTCAGTTTGATAATCCGTCTCCTAACAATAAAGTAAATATTTCATTTCATATTGCCCAGAATAAAAATCTTGTATTACATTGAGTAATATTTTGAATTTAATATGTATATATTTTTTCCCAGCCAAATCCTAAAGATAAACCTATAATTATTATGCAACATAATACACAAGATGCCCCAAATGCTCAAATTCAAGATCTGCCTTCTGATACTTTAATCAATAATGCAAATAATTCTGCTTTCAATACAGAGTTATCTAATCAAAGAAGTTCAGGTAAATTCTAAAAACTAATAACTTAATTTTCATAACATTAACATATTTATGATGTAATTATTTCTGGTGCAGAAAAAGAAAAGAAAGAAGAAAGCCGAAACAGCACTTCGTATCCAATGAGTGTTAGTGTACCGAATTTAGCCTCAAATGGTACACCAAAATCACAAGCAGATATTCCGATGCAAAAACCGCTAGCTGAAGCCTACGCACCTTACCAAAAACATAGGAACTTTGACCGGAATAATAGTCATAACAATCAGAATCAAATTAACCATTTACCTCAAAGAGTTCCAACTTCGGTATCTAGTCTAGTTCGTTTAGCTCTATCCACTAATTTCCCAAGTATGTAGTATTAATGTATTATAAATGTTACCTCTGTTATTAATTAATATTTTTAAATACTATGAAGTTTAAACTTGTTATTTTGTTGTTGCAAGTTGTTAAATGTGATAATTGTACTCGAAACTATAAAGAAACATTTTATTTTAGGTGGTCTGCTTCAAACAGCACAAAGTTATCCTAGTCTCTCGGCTAGTAATTCAACAAATAACTCGTGCTCCATAACAACAATTGCAAATGGGGCATTTTGTGTCGGTGAAGCTCTTACAATGAGTCTTGCGTCCACATCCAGTGACAGTGAACAAGTCAGTTTAGAAGTCAGTGTCTATAAATTATTTTAGAAAATATATTTACTCATTTATATGGATATTTTTGCTTAGGATTTTTTGGACAGCGTTCGCGCTCCTGCTTTGTTTGCTGAACTTGAAGACGACGAAGAAATTGTCGAAGACGAAGATATGCCAGATGATGATGAGAATGAAGATGAACAAGAGTATGAAGAGGTAATGGTCTCCAGAAATCTACTTGCTATGGTAAGAATATACTTATTGGAGATGTGGATAACATTATTTAAGTTATGTAGGTTCATTATGTGTGTTCATCATTACCAAGCTTTTAGGCTTGAATATTCATTTTTGTTTGTCATTTCAATAGAAATAACCATCTTCTTTTTGCTTTTTTCAAATCTGATAAAAATTATATGTAACTTGAGGTTATTCTTATAATCTTATGTTTAGATAGGTTTACAGGGTTAATGTTTATCAACATATTAATATAAATATTGTTCCTTTTTTTAGGAAGAAGAAGCCTATGAAGCCCAACATGCTGCTATTGCTAGTATTGTGGGTGCTGATAGATGTGGTAATCCGTATAAAAGACGATCGTGGGATGATGAATACGTGCTAAGAAGAGAATTTACCGCACTAATACCCGCATTCGATCCCCGACCCGGACGTACCAATGTTAATCAGACATCAGATTTAGAAGTTTTAGCGCCTCCAGAGGACGAGAATGATGAAGTACCTGATGTTTTCTTTGAAGATAAAAGTAGTGTTGTTAACCAATCGTCGTTGCCAAAGCTTAAACTGACATTAAAAGGACCAAATTTGCCAGGCGTAAGTTATTAACCTTAAACATTTAATGAATACCTGTTCAATGTGATCAGCTAATATTTGATGATATAAATTTTAGGTAAAAGATGTGGAGGTTGAACTTAAAGATCCTAATTGGACCATATTCCACGCTGTTCAAAAATTAGCGCAGTTGGCTGATCTTGGAAGTCGGCAAGAAAGGTCTAGACGGATTTGGGAACCTACATATACGTAAGTTATAAATGATGGTTATATGTAAATTAATAGACCCATGTTTTGTCATGTCTAATTAGTAACTTTAAATTTCTTATTTAACAGTATTATTTATGAAGAACAAACAAATGAATCACAAGAGTTTGGTCCTGAAATTGATAACCATTGGGATTCTGATATACCTATATTTTCTACACGTACTCAATTGAGTAATACTGGTTGTACAGTTGATCATGTACTACAACTGTTACGGCAACTTCATAATCTTTCCATTAATCCATTGATCTCCTTATTAAAACCATGTACCAACGACTTTTTCAAAGGTAAAAAAAAAACCAAATTTTATTAGATTTCTTAAATGAACTATGTTGACTATGTTGTTAAATAATATTTCACTTGTAGACCAAACTAAAGATGACGGTGAGCTGATGAATGGCGAAATATTCAACAGTAAAAAGATGACGAACAAACTTGTTCAGCAAATTCAAGACCCCTTGGTATTAAGTTCCGGTGCACTTCCATCTTGGTGTGAACACTTAAATCTTTCCTATTCATTTTTATTTCCTTTTGAAACCAGGCATTTATACTTCAACTGCACAGCTTTTGGGCCATCCAGGTAATGTCATAATATTTCTCCTTGACTATTTTGAATAAAAAAATTTAACTAAGTATATTTTTTCAGATCCATTGTTTGGTTACAATCACAACGTGAAAACGTAGAACGCCATCGTACAGGTTCTAGTTTGCCGTTGAGGCGTGAAGAGGAGTACAGAGTTGGTCGTTTAAAACACGATCGTGTTCGCATTCCTCGTAGTGAAGATATTTTGGCGTGGAGTAGACAACTCATGAGAGCTCACATTGACCGCCAAACCGTTTTAGAAGTTGAGTTTATGGGAGAAGAAGGAACCGGTTTAGGTCCTACATTAGAGTTTTATTCATTAATCGCTGCAGAATTTCAACGCAAAAATCTCTGTAAGTAAATTAATTTTTTTAAATTTGTACATGAGGGTCATTCAAAAAATTATGCCTGTTTTATTTTTAGTTTTTTTTTCCACAAAATTATAACATTTGTATACAACTATTTTTTAACGTAATTTATGATCGTTTGATACATTTTCTATACCTTTGGATTAGCTATTAACTCATCCTCCATCTCTCTTGTTCAAATCCAAACAACTTCTTTGATGTCTTCATCAGTTGGGAAATATTCTCCAGCTAAGCATTTTTCAATTCAGAGAATTTGAATTTCCGAATGTCACACTTACATGAGTTAAGAAAATTAGGTGCGGTAAACAAAGAGGAGGTACAGCTCACAACTCACTTGGCAGTTTGGCACTAAGAGATTTTCATCTTTTCTCCAAATTAAAAAATGCTTAGAGATCACTTCACAACTGATGAATACTTAGCAGCTGTTTGAAATTAGCAAGAGAGATAGCGCATAAGACCTTTAAGGAGGAATTACAAAAGCTGATCCTCAAGTATCAAAAATGTACCAAACGATCCGGTGACTGTCAAAAAATAGTTCTATATATTTATAACAAATCCTTTTAATCGTATTTTAAAATAAACAGGCATTACTTTCCAAACCACCCTTGTATACATTTTAAAACAGTATTTATTTATTATTTTATTAAAATCTAGGCATGTGGGTATGTAATGATGATCTGCTCGAAGAAACTAAACAAAGCAGTTGGCTAGAAGAAGGTGCTAAACCACCTGGCTACTACGTCAGACGCCCCGGAGGACTATATCCTGCGCCGTTGCCACAAGATTCGCCTTGTTGTGATAGAGCTGTAAAGCATTTCTGGTTTCTTGGAATGTTCCTGGCCAAAGTTCTTCAAGATAATCGTTTAATCGACCTTCCATTGTCTGTACCGTTCTTAAAACTTTTAACAAAGGCCAAAGATAATGAGTAAGTTGACAACATAAAAAAGTTTAAATTATTATTATTATATTATACACTAGTATAAGAGCTATTATTATTAACTAAATAACTCATTTATAGGTATGTCAGAATACTTAGTGATTCTGATTTGTTTGATATTGATGAAGAACAAGCAACATTTATAAAAAGCTTGAAAGGTTTGATTTTGTCAAAGGAAAAAATTTTGAACGATCCGTCTTTGAGTAATGAAGAAAAACAGCAACAAATTGAAAATTTACAATTTCAGTGTGGTGACACAGAAAAAGTTAACTTGGAAAATTTAAGTTTGAGCATGATTTATCTACCATCATCTTATTGCTTCCCGTTCACTTATATCGAACTAGTAGAAGACGGTCTTGCTAAGGATGTAAACATGGAAAATGTTGAACAGTATGTTAGCCTTTTAACCGATTTCATATTGGAAAAGGGTATAAAAAGGCAAATGGAAGCATTGAAAGCTGGTTTTTGTCGTGTCTTCTCGATTGAGAAATTAAATGCTTTCACACCACTAGAGCTCAGACGAATGTTATGTGGACAACAAGAACCAGAATGGACCAGAGAAGATTTATTGAATTATACCGAACCAAAGTTGGGATACAACAAAGAAAGGTAAACTATTGGTTTTGTATTGAAAAATAGAATTAGAAAAAATTATGTGTATTTTGGTATTTTTATTTTAGCCCCGGATTCTTACGTTTGGTGAACGTCCTCGAACAGATGAATTCTGAAGAACGTAAATCATTCTTACAATTCACAACCGGATGTTCGTCACTACCGCCCGGTGGTTTGGCCAATTTATATCCTAGGCTTACTGTGGTGCGTAAAGTTGATGCTGGTGCAGGAAGCTTCCCGTCGGTCAACACTTGTGTCCATTATCTGAAATTACCAGAGTATCCGGATGAACAGACTTTAAGGGAACGTTTATTAGCTGCGACGCTCGAGAAAGGGTTCCATCTTAATTAACCATGATGTGCTGCTGTAATTACTTATTATGTTAAATACTAAAAAAAATTATATTATTTTATCACATTAGAGTAAATTTAATTTATAATAGTATGTGTTGTGCACCATTTTCTTAAACAATTACATTTCTATGGCTGCTAACAAATAGTACCTCTATGTTTTGTCTGTCCCTAGCGGTGTTCCCTTCTATGTACCAGTGTGATACTGTGTTTTTTTTTTCTAAATGATTTATCTAATACCAACTGATTTGTGATGTTAAAATTTTTATTTTTAAGTGTTTTGTCGTAATAATAGTTCTATGGATTTAAGAGAATTAATTATTACAATTTGACGACTCATAATGTTTCGTGAATTTTTATTATAATTATTATTAAAGGAAAAACTTATCAAAAAATAAATTTAATGAATAAAAACGATTTAAATTACATTTTTCTTTGCAATATTCATTATCCAAAACCTGTATTATTATTCCGATCTATTTTATTATAATTATATTATAATACTTATAATATATTCATACTGGCATTCCTGTTCTGATTCACTACAAATAATTATATGGAAAATTCACCCAAAATACTATTGCTAAACTATTAGATAAAAATAATAAATATAAAATCATTATATAAACTTGGATTACGTATATAATTTTATTATTAATGTAATGCGGTAATAAAATTGTCCGAGGTCCGTGGCTATGCGTTATAATATTATGAAGGGGTTCAGTATTCAGATTAAAAGGTTAAGAACCCCAGCTGGCCTAGGGCATAGACCCGGAGGTAAGTATTTATCAAAGAAATAAAAAGTGCATTAAAATAAATTCGTACTGCGGTCTGCGAACCTCCACACACACACACACCAGCTCGCCAATACTTCCCACGATTTCAAAATCGTTAGAAGGAGTCGGATAATAGATTGGCATAAAAATTTTAAAACGCATGGATAATATATATTTATATATTCATTTGGAAAATATATATTTGTAAAACGGGTTACCGACCAGTTATTTTTGTTAGAAGGTTATTATAAAGTTTATAAAAAAAAAAATTCTAAATAATATCGAATAGGCTCGAATGAAAACTCACATTTAACACAAAAAATCATTTTTAATTTACAACCGTTTTCATGGTATTCAAAATTTTCAAGGACTAATCTAGAGACCGGTTTCGATAAGTTTTGGATTTTGAAACAAACTTAAAACACAACCGGGTTCATCGTGAAAATTCCATAAACGCACTTCCTTGTTGGCAACTTATTTTCTCATTTTTTAGAATATTATGCTATGTGTAATGTGATCGTGGCACGTGGGAAGACATTCTTTGATTACTAATAATTATTATTTTCTCAACTTGTTTACCGGTTATTACTAAGCACATTTAGCGCTTAAGTTTCTTTGTTCTGTTGAGGTCAATGCTAATTGTCCAGTAACAATGCTTAGTTTGTAGTAGTATTTTAACTAAATTAGTATAAAATCCTAGTTATTATAGAGATAATAACCCGGTTCATTTTGTTCCAAGTCTATTGAAGTTATCATAATGATATATGTGTCGTTTATTGTAAAAGTGAATTATCTCGTTGTAATTGAATTTTGAAATAACGAGCTTTTGGTACATTAATGTGTTTGAAAAACAATACAAGTTTTCACGTTCAGGGTTTTCTATTTTTTATTTATTTTTCCATTTATTGCAGTTCAGCTTTTCTTTTATAATGAAAGATAATATGACTAAATGTGACTCCATTAAGCAACAATATGTATATTTTAAAAATTTGGAGTAACACCACTTTTACAATAAACGACCAATATGTGTCTAACCTTTTATCCATCATATTATTTTATTATTGGACCAAATCTATCTTGTACACTCTCTGTGTAATAAATAAATCTATTAAGTGTTTAATTATTATTTCAAATATATTTTACTCTCATACTAACGAGGTAGTATACTATGTTTTGTACTCACCTAAGCGAGTGAAGAGGAGAGGACTTTTATTACTTTTAATGTGGTTTAGATAAATCGATATAGAGATTAAAAAATATGTGTTGCGGGTCCAGGTATAAAAAAAAGTCAAAATATGCGTTGTAAAACCAATTGGGCGGCATCCTTCACAGAGTGGGGAACTGAAATGGTAACAATGTACTTTTTTATTATTATTGTGCTTGTTATGAAAAATAACATGTTAACACGAACCATGGATACCTGTAATTTAGTTGTGGTTTTGCTATAACAACACATTGCGCAATAATTGCTGTTTTTGTTGTTTTTGAGAAGCTTACACGATAAGTATAATCATAAATTGGTAAATTGTTTCCAGAGGAAATTTATATTTAGCCGTGACCTCGAACCTAGCAAAAAAAATATCCTCATTTCTGACACAAGTGTGTGTGCCTAATTATAATTTTTGCACCTATACAATGTATTTTGTGTGCCAATTTTGTTTCTGCGTGCAAAATAAAAAACTTACCTACATAAACATTCGATTAAAGCTGCGGCCTTGCTATAACGGCCAAGTAGGTACCGAGAAAATAGATTTTCCTATTATATACCTAATGCCTATAATTGGCATGATTAATATTATATTAGGATTATAAATTACCACTAAAGTATGTGCCATTGACAACGTGAAGTTTTCAGTCAAGTTGTGAATTTACCGTATTTTGCTTTTTAATTTCAGATGTTACTTAATTTCATAAATGACAAAACAAGTGATTTTCCACGCTAACATGTTTTAATAAAAATAAAAATATATATTATTTATTATTATGGCATTACTTGGACCGAGCAAGAATGGAAATAAGGAAGTGAAAATAATTCGTTATCGTTTATAATAATGATTAAACAAATACTGGAAATCGATTTGGTTAACCGTTAAGCATAATGAGTGTTAAAATTTCATCATCATAAAAATATCAGGTCATAAATAAATCATGAAGTTAACGAGGACACTCGTGTTGACGTTAACTCGGACTGGACTGATTCCGCTTTGATTTAAATAGAAAAACGGCTATAAACATTTATGATATATTTATTAGGAGTAGGTAAGTAATGGGCAAACGGCAAATACTTTTTTGGCAATAAAGATATGATTTAAATAATTAGTTGTCTTGAATGTGATGCCTATAAATTATTATTATTATTATTATTATTATTAGCAATGACTTGATCAAAGTCTAAAAATACCTACCTACGTTTTTAAAAAGTAATATCGAACACCAAAATACCGGAAGTGAATATACAGCTTTGTTCGAATTTAAACAGGATTAGTATTTTAATGTAGGCATATTAGTTCTCTGGGTTAATTATTAAGGTCACTGAGAGTAACACGACAATATAATTGCTGATGACTTAATTGTCATCGCTCTTAAGTGAGTACCTGCGTAATCAAAAGTCATAACGAACCTATCTAGTAATGAGTCTACAGCAGTGAGAACAAGGTCATTATATTATATTAGGCTATAGCCGACCATTTTGTGAGCTAAACACATTAAGAACAATACTGCAATATCACGTCTAACGGATTGATATGCAATTACTGACCACAACAACATGGTTTATATGCTCAGACCATTTACCTAGATAACATGATCATTTAAAAGGTTTTTCGGCCTTGGTACGCCCTACGAAATTCGAGATCTTAATTATCGGTCTAAAAATTACCTGTTATGATTTATTCTTTTCTACATGCTTAAATCTTGCAAAATTAATTTAACCCAATTCCCGATGTCGTAGAAGGCTGATCCTTGGCACAGACACTCATCTCGGATGACAATACATTATCCTGTAATAAATTTGGGACTCGGACATCCAGGTCGCCATACACAGGGTCATATTTCACTAAAATTTCATGTTTTTTCCATTCCAAAATGAATTTAACCCACTTTCCGATATCGTAGAAGGCTGAAATTTAACCCAGATACCTAACCTAACCTGGACATCAAGGTTTAAAATGGGGGGGGGGGGTCAAATATGGAGGTAATTTCACTAAAATTTCATGTTTTTGACATTTTCATGTCTTAGCTCTGGCACATAACCGAAAATATTGTAACGCAAATATTGTAACGCAAATATTGTAACGAGAAAAGCGTTACCAAATAAGAAATGGGGTTGAAGATGAGGTGGGAATGGGAAAGGGGTGGAATTAGCTATGGCAAATAACCGAAAAAAAGCGTTACCAAAAGAGCGTTACCACACGGAGATGGGTTGGAGGTGGAAATAGGGGTAGGAGATAAGGGGTGGGAATGGGTATGGGGGTGGAATTAGCTCTGGCACATTACCGAAAAAAGTGTTACCAAAAAAAGCGTTACGCTGTTATCTGATATGAGATATGAGGTATGGGTGGAGGATAGAGGTAAGATATATAAGATAAGAGCTGATGTTCCTTGGCTTTAATGGTTCGCCCCGAAGGGATCCCCTACGACTGCGGACCGACTAGTAGCACTAGGTGCTAATTGCGGGCCGAATAAGGTGTGTCTCAAGATGAAGTGACCAGTCCGAAGGCCACTTTTCGGAGGGCTCTACGTCACGTTAGTTGCCTTTTACGACAGGAGCGAGGACCTTGGTAGAATTCTTTCTCCCCTAACCACGGGGATGTATAAGATAAGAGCTAAGAGATATGTTGTACGTTCAACGTTCTAATTAGAACTAAATAATAAATTCAAAATAATTTAATTCTCTATGTTAAGTTACTTTTGGCCAGATAATAAACACTACAATTTTAGCCAGAAACTTGATTGTACATAATTTTTTTATCTCCTTGGCCTTATGCTGTAACTCGAAGCTTCATGTAATTTTTTTTTTTTTAATTATAATTCCACAACTAATTTAAATTTATTCGGTATTTCAACGAGACATGAAAATGCTCTTTCGTGGTTGCAGACTCGGCTGAAAAACTTTTTTCGTTACGCTCTTTTGGTAACGCTTTTTTTTTTAAATCTTCCAAAATGAATTTTTGTAATCTATTCATCAATTGTTAAGTACCTTTATTTAATAGGACTAAAAAGTAAGAAATAAAATAAAAACAATTTTTTTTTAATAACATGCTTTGCTAAAAATAGTAAAAAAGTGAACTAAAAAGTAAAAAATAATTTTACTACAAGAATAATATTTATCAATCAATTATGTAGCACATTTTTTTAAAATGTCAATTACTTTGAAAACAACTGAAAATTAACTACGATTTGAAATAATGTTAAATGTCTTTAATTTTTTACTACAAAGAAAAGCGTGGGTCCTATTCAATAAAGTCCCTAATAAATTTAACAGATAATGTTTTATATTGCAAGTTTTTTTTTGTAATTTAAATTTTGTTCAATGATAGTGTATGGCACATACGTTTCATAACACTTAAATCAATGAATTTGGACTTTGTTGTATAATAATTACAATTTGTTGATAACCGAAATTTGCTTGGTATTAGCGTTTTTCGTCACAG